GGGGACCCTGCGGGGGGTGGGGGGTGACCAGGGTCCTACCCGCAGGGGGTGTCTTCGGCTGGGCCAGGGGTAGGGGCCGGCTCTTTGGGCCTTCGAGCCGGCCCAGGTCTCCCAGTGCTCCCGCGGCGCAGGGCATTCCCGCAGAAGCGCAGGAAATAGCTCTGGCTCATTTCCAAGGAGCTGGGGCACACACCTGTGGAATGCTGTGGGAGCTGCGCTGCACTGGTCTTCTGAGTCCCCCAAGTCTAGAGGTGAAGCCTCTATCCTGAAAATGGCCCCCTGCCCTCAACCTGACCAGGGAGCTACCCCGGGAGGCTGACTAGTGGTAAAATAGGTCTGGTGACCCCTGATCAACAGTAATCCTCCTGTCCTCTGACTCATCTTGAGGATGTGAGGCCCTCGGGGCTGCAACTGGATGGGGCAGAGATGGTTCAAAACCGGGTGGCTTCTGTCAGGGCTCAAATGAGAGATGAGGGCACGGGGTAGGGGCTGGTTGGGCCTAACGCTCTGGAGAAGCCACGCCTGGGCTGCGTCCCATGGGAAGATGTAGAAGCAAGCAGGTAGCGGAGCAGGCAGGTGGGCCCTGCTGGGATGTGGGGTGCAGTGGAGGGCAGGAAAAACAGCCCGATACTGGTTGTACAGGGAGCAATAGAATATCAGCCCTGCTCACTGTGGTCCCTAGGCCAGTCCCTTCCTCTTGCTGGGCCTCAGCTTCCCACCCGAAAAAGGAGGTGGTTGGACCGGGCAACACATCAGCACCCATCCAGGGAGGGGTTCTCTGAGCCTACTCATGGGGAAGGGCCGCAACCGGAATGCTGGGGCCTCCAGGAGACACTTTTCTCCATTTGCCTGGTGGGAAGTAGGGTGGCTACTGGGCCAACAGGGGTGGGCTCAGTGCCACTGTCTCTCCAGGTCTAAGAGGCCTGCTCAGTGTGGGGTATCACTGCTCTTAGTAGGCCCACACCACCCTTCCTAAGAGCCATTTTTACTCACAGAACCACCCACCCAGGGAGTCTGAAGCAACTGGAGGCCACCAAGGCCACTTTCTTTCAGTCCTGATGATGACTGTGAGGTTCAGAAAGTCATACAATAACTAGGGAGGAGAGGCAGAAGGATCAGGGCCAGAGCCTCTGGTAAGACATTCTTTGTCCCCACCCCAGTCCCTATTGACAAAGGGTCTTGCCCAGCTCCTGGTACCCCCAGAGTCTGGGGCAGGTGTCGGGGGCCTAGAGCCAGCCTCACGCCCTCCCTGACAGCAGCTGGAGCTGGAGAAATGGCATCAATTTGGGGAGAGGCAGGGCTGAGGGTGTGGTAGCCCCTATTTCCCCTGAGGTGAAGACTCAGGCCCCACATAGAGTTCACATAGGAAGTAGAGGTGGCTCAGGACACTAGCTGTAGGCCAGGTGCTGACTGGCAGTGGTAGATGGAACTGGGAGTAGGACCCATGACTCCTCAAGGGAGGAGGGGGAGGTTAGGCACCCCTCCCCAGGACCTCCTGGGGACAATCCACCCTCCTTGCCTGGAGGAACTGTGTTCTCCCTGAACAGACCCTGTGGGGCTCCGAGGGGTGCAAGAACAACCCCCGCCCAGTCCTTACAGCCTCCCTGGAGCCAAGTGTCAGCATCTCCTCTGGACAGGTCAGGAAACTGAGGCCCACAAAAGGGCAGTGGCTTTCCCAGGAGTGGCATGGACAACCAGAGAAACTCAGTGGAGGGTTTAGCTTTGGGATTGTTCACCCACAGCTTGGGCTTATACTCTTCTAATGATGAACAGAAGGATCTAGAGAAGGCTCTGCCAACGTCCTCCGTCATGTTGGAGACTTTGAGACTCAGAGGCAGAGTCAGGCCCCACCAAAGTTTGGTCCCCAGACTCTCAGAGCACCCTGTGGCCCGCAGTCCCCAGCTCTGCCCAGTAACGGTTTCTTTCATGCTTCAAAGCTGTAAAAAGGCAAAGCTGCACCCGTTCTTTCTCCTGGCACCCATCTCTTCCTCTAGGGGGACATAACCCAGCCCACAGCGTCCCAGGTTGCCACGGAGGATGTACCCACGTATCACTCACTTTCCTTTCAGGGCAGCTTGGAGAGAGATGAGGCAGCGCACGGTAAGCTGCGGGGGGCGGGGAGGAGCGGGATTGGGGGCGCAGGTGCGGGCCTGGCCGCCGCCTTGCGAGTGGCAGTCCTGCGCCCTGGCCGGGAGGCTGCTCACGGCCACCCCTTTCCCAGCCCGACCTCTCTCGGGCTCCCTAACCGCTCCCAGGCCGCTCGCCTTCCTGACTGTCCTTTCCTTTTACTGTCCCCTCGCTGTCTCCCTGCGGCCCCCTCACCTCTTTCTTTTGATCCCTCCGTCTCCCCTCTCTGGGAGTCTGGTCTCTCGAGCTCTGGCTCTGCTGCCTGGGCGTGCGCTCCGACCGGTCTCCCTCGCTCTGGCTCGGCCAGCCCCTCTCACGCGGCCCCCTCCCTTCCTCCCCTCTCCCTTCTCCGTTCCTGCCTCCGGCTCGGCCTAGCGGGTGGGGGGC